TTCTAGGAAGTTCTAATTTAGATGAATACCTAACAAAAAATAGGTTTAACAAAAATTTCAAAAATTCTGTGTAGATTACATAATCAAATTAAGAAATGTGACGTACAGGACAAGTGTGTGACGTACGGGACAACCCCATATAAAACCAATGCGAGATGTGAAAAAGGAAATGACCAAAAGGAGAATATATACTGTGTTAGGAAACTTGTTGTATACAGGGACATATGAACATTCCAACTGAGTCCCTTCTAGGAATTTACTTGTTTGTACTTTTGTTGTTGTTTTATGTAATTTTTGTTAATGTAATTAGTCTTCAAGCCAGACCCCTGGTATAATCAACTTTGGTATTTTGCCAGTTGATGTCCCCAACATTGGCAGGATGCTAAAAATGTAAATCATAATAGTGTACTAGTTCCTGGAATGAGTCTAATGAAATTATATGGTAGTGGATGCACCAGAAGCTGGCTTTTACAACTCATAGATGCTGCAGGTAAGAATAGCACATGTATGCTATCAAGCTCTCCATGTGAGGTTGTTTGATATTCTATTTAAATGTCATATATGATGGTAAAGGATTACAGCATACACTGTACATGTTATGGAGCCAGCTCGGGAATTCTGATCTCCTAAAAACTAAATCATAACTTTTAAGGAAGGACAGCCTTTTTGAGTATTTCACACTCTCACCCACTTAAGATTTTTATCACTTTTACACCCATGCATTTTTGTTGATTTTGCATTAAATTAAATCTTTTGAATTGTGGAAAAGGTCAGACAAACCTTTAGGGTTTTAATTTCTTATATCTGGTGGTGTTAATAAGATGTTTTAATCAATACGAAATACATTCAAGATTTATATTTTTGTATCCATCTTTCACAAACATGTAGGCTACATTAATGTACATCAAAATTCTTGAATATATGACAGCAACATATACATGTTCTAATCTGTGATAAAAGGATATAAAAAAGACAATATGTCCAGCATTATCTTTGAATTCCTTCAAAATTCTATGATATTACTATCAAGTAATTCAAACAAGCTATGAAGAAAAGACTTCATATTTTTAATGTATCTTTGTTCACAAACACTTAGAGCATAAGAAATGTTCTTTGACAAAATATGATGTGCCGAGTATGCCCCTGTGTTTCAAACAAGTTTAAATAAAAGTTTTCAAGTTCAAGTTCATCTTCTTCATTAATTATTATTTAAAAACATTTTGCAATGTTGAATGGAATGGATAAAAGAAATGAGAAAAGAAGCATGACTGCACATGATAGATGGGTAAATGGAATAAAAATGGTAATATAGTGTGTATGAATATTAATTCAATTTGTTTTCTTTGTTAAAGTAATATTTGTATTGATTTACCTCATAAATTAACACAGATGATATTAAGTGATGGTCAGAGGATCTAATTGGGTTCTAAAACACTATAATTGTCACTGATTTAAGTTAAAATTGTTCACATTTAACAAATTTTGACGAAAATTCTTCATTTCAATGCATTTTCCCATAGGGAAAAGTTGTCCCGTACGTCACGTGTCCCGTACGTCACGTGCACACATTTATGTTTTGGTATATTACATAATAACGAAAGGTCAGAAAAATATGGTAATAGTTATGATTAATGCTTGATTCCATAATGAATTAAGATATCATTACCATAAATCTCATAACTTACTAAATTCAGAGAACTTTTATGATGAACTTTTTTTTGAAAAAGTCAGAAATTCTCTGGTCCCGTACGTCACGCAGCACATTAATTACATTAAAAATTAATTTATGAATTGGTCAGAACTAAAACTTTCCACAAATGAACTAGCCCATAATAGCCACAGACTCATACCAAAAGATAGTCATATAAATAATTTCATCCATTGTTATTTCTTGTTTAAAGTCTCTGAATGTCCCGTACGTCACAAAGCAAATAGCTTGGACCTGCCCTTATACACATTACATGTACATGAGTGCTAGGCATGGACTTGCATGGTTAAGAAGCAAAGAAGAAAAAAAGGGAAAATATTGAGAGAAGAATAAAAACAGCTGCTTGACAGCGCTGAGTTTTGAGGTAAATGTGGCTAGGTGTGCAGCCACATCTCATCAAAAAAATCAAAACCAGAAGAAAGAAAGTCTTGAGATATTCTGCATTCTGACGTCAAGCTTCAGAATCAATAGGGATAAAGCATACCTGCCAACCCTTCTGAAAAATTCAGGATATTCTGATTTTCTGGATTCTTAAAGGGAACCAAAACCTTCATACTAAGTTACTTTTATTGTAAAGTTTAAGATATTTGAAAAATATCAGTGAAAATTTGAACAAAATCGGGCAAGGAATAAGGAAGGTAGAGCTTTTTGAAATGACTAGTCACTAGAGGGCGGTATTCAATTTGAAGACATCATCTGTGGACAACTCTCCATTCCTTTTGTACTTTAAATTTCATGTTTTTCCTTCTTTCTTGTGATTGAGATAATCTACTCCCCTGAAAGCAAGATATAGAATGCAAAATGATATTCTACTTCACATGTTATGAACTTTCTGAAATTTTATGTACAGAAGGCATGGAGAGTTGTCCACAGATGATGTCATCAAATTATACACATTACATGTACATGAGTGCTAGGCATGGACTTGCATGGTTAAGAAGCAAAGAAGAAAAAAAGGGAAAATATTGAGAGAAGAATAAAAACAGCTGCTTGACAGCGCTGAGTTTTGAGGTAAATGTGGCTAGGTGTGCAGCCACATCTCATCAAAAAAATCAAAACCAGAAGAAAGAAAGTCTTGAGATATTCTGCATTCTGACGTCAAGCTTCAGAATCAATAGGGATAAAGCATACCTGCCAACCCTTCTGAAAAATTCAGGATATTCTGATTTTCTGGATTCTTAAAGGGAACCAAAACCTTCATACTAAGTTACTTTTATTGTAAAGTTTAAGATATTTGAAAAATATCAGTGAAAATTTGAACAAAATCGGGCAAGGAATAAGGAAGGTAGAGCTTTTTGAAATGACTAGTCACTAGAGGGCGGTATTCAATTTGAAGACATCATCTGTGGACAACTCTCCATTCCTTTTGTACTTTAAATTTCATGTTTTTCCTTCTTTCTTGTGATTGAGATAATCTACTCCCCTGAAAGCAAGATATAGAATGCAAAATGATATTCTACTTCACATGTTATGAACTTTCTGAAATTTTATGTACAGAAGGCATGGAGAGTTGTCCACAGATGATGTCATCAAATTGAATACTGCCCTCTAGTGACTAGTCATTTCAAGAAGCTCTACCTTCCTTATACCTTGCCCGATTTTGTTCGAATTTTCACTGATATTTTTCAAATATCTTAAACTTTACAATAAAAGTAACTTTGTATGAAGGTTTTGGTTCCCTTTAAGACTTTAAAAAAAAAAAAAAAATTTTATCTCAAGGAAATGGGTAGTGTGAAGTTTTTTAAAAGGAAGAAGAAAAGGTTGAGGATGACTTGAAGGAAAAGGTAGAGGAGGACTTGAAGGAAGACTGTGAGGTAAACCTGTGGCTTGGCCTGGGGGCCCCCCGGGCTCTTACTGATGTAGGGGGAGAGCAGTGAACCAAGATTAACTACATCTACTTTGATCTGCGTCATCTAGACAAGACAAGTAGAAATGATGCTTGCCCGCTATCTTGCTGCCACTGGAAAATGTCAAAGGGCCCTGGCAGTATATGCAAGGTGTAGGGGTGTGTTCCCACTCAAGAGTGTGTAATGTGCTCTGGTGTGAACTGTGAAAGGTGAAGAGATATGTATGTACACCTGTAGATAATTAACTCTGTGTGAGAGGTGCAGTGGCTTGTTTCTACTCATACAAAGGTATATTGACTCTGGTGGTGAGAGGTGTTGAGGGGTGTTCCCACAGATATAGTTTACTTTGGCTATGGGAGGTAAAGAGGCGTGTCCATACACAGGATGATTTGCGTTGCGTTGGTATGGAAGATTTAGAGGCGTGTTTACATGGAGGTTATTTATTCTCGAGTGTGTTCTCACACATATGATTTACTGTGGTATGAAAGGTGTAGAGATATGTATTCACTCATACACTCTCCTCTTGCTCTGAGACAGATTGATGTGTTTACACAAATAAGTGATTTACTCTGGTGTTGAGAGCCTGAGAGGCGTTTGCGAAGCGTGTTTTCACTCACATCGTTTATTCCACATACACTGTATATTTATGAGTGTGCTATGTGATGCAGGAGTCTTTGCTTTGAATGGAGGTAGCATGTTTGCATTGTAAATCGGCATGAAAGTTTAATGAAGCCCCCAAATATTACATGCTGGAGTATACAATGAATAGTTTGATAGGGTGTCCTATTTAGTATCTTTAGTGCACGATGGCAGCAAAATCTCTGTGCCTTTTAGACTACAACCCCTGTTATAATTACACTGACAATACAGGTACATGCACAGGAAAAGCCTGCCTTTTAAAGCAGGTGCCAATTTACTACACTGGGTTTGGAGGGGTGATTTAAATGAAATACTTGATGGTCTAGGCACTTTGCTTAGATTCAGGTTAATACATGTTTCATGGTGAAGTGTGCAAATATGAATGATTGTCTAACCATAATTTTTTCTCAAGATGAGTGAATAATAATTATTTCCCCAGGGTAGCCAAATCAGCATAAATACTGCTTTCCGCCTTCCTTGCAATTTCATACGTATTATTACCCTGTAGGTACCCATTTAATTCACCTGGGTTGATAGGGACAGATGTGGGCAAAACTCCTTTTCCAAGGATTGTAACCACTGGGCTTCTCATATGAAAGTCAAGACCTTTACAGCATACCGCGGTGCTCATTTTACATTTATATTTTACCCAAATTTGTTAACAAATTATGTTATTTTAGTATTTTACTTTTATTAACATTTTCAACATTCTGTTTGAATCAACCTCAACCCTATTTTGGTTTTCACTGTGATCTGTCAGTGTACTTCTTCCATGACATTGTTTTGATTTCCTAATCTATTTACAGGGATCATTTGGGGCCTTGCAGAAGATCTGTGAGGATTCGGCTGACATCCTGGATAGCGACGCTCTCGATCGCCCACTCAACTTTCTCATTCCAAAACTGCTGGATTACTTCAAGCATGCCTCCCCCAAGATCAGGTATGTATGCCACATCTTGGAGAAAACCCATTTTTAGAAATACTGTGATCAGTGACACAAAGACGTAACTCCATTTTGGTCATTTTGAGAAAAAGTGGTTTATGTGTCACTGAGCACTTGGGCCTTTAGGAGTTGTCTATGTTTCACTAGCCATTGACTTCAATGGGGTGTTGGGTGGATTTAAGTCTTTGTGTTTCCTGGAAAGCCTACATTTTTATGAACATTTTGATATCAAATACTCATTTTGGCAACATATGGAGTTACGTCTTTTTGTCACTGGACCCTCAAAATACAGTGATCATGGAGCAACACACATACAGTCTGCATGCACAGACTCTAATTTGATACTTTACCACAATTCCTGAACCTTAGGGTAGAGACTTGCTCTGTCAGTCTCTGGCTATGTCAAATAAAGTACAGAGCTTATATTACCTAGTATGCCATCATCCAGACTTAATGTGCAGACACTAACAAGGATCTGTGACTGATTTTTCTCTCTCAAGGGAATAGGACTTTGAGTATTAAATTAAAATGATTTTATTTTGCATGCAAAGCATAATAATAATAAATAATAACTATTTCTTATATGGCGCTTTTCAGGAAGGCCCTATCAAAGCGCTTTACAGATATTTATATATATTATTACCCCGGTCATCGGATTCAGGCTTACCCGCAAACAATGTAATACAATGAATAAATATATTATACAAAAATAAGCAATGAAACGAGAAATATGATAGTAATAGCACGAGAAAAGAGGAACAAACTAGAAGCAGAGCTTGTTGGAAGTTTTATTTCCTCAGAAGCTGTTTTACAAAACGTCTTAAAGACAAAGAACAAGTATACATAGAAAATCAATACCGGGTAAATTAAAAAATATAGTAAAGTAGTTTAAAAGTATACATTAATGTAGGAAAGAATGTTCTTCTTTTGGTGCGAATGAATATTTTCAATGCATTAACAATCTTCAAATTTTTACAAATAGCCTGGTACATTTGTAAATGTGTCAGAATTTTGCAGTAATTTGAAATATTATGTTCACGGTCAAATATTCACACTTAAAAAAGAAAACCAAATCTCTTTTACCCTTCTTTCTCTTAATCTATTGACCTACATTTATTTGTATCTCTTGATCACTATTCTTCATACCCCCCCCCCCTTTCCCCTAATTCTTGCTAATCTCAGTCTCTTTTTGTTTCTCTTCTCTTTTGGCTTTTCTGCCCTGTACTCACTTTTTTGGTCAAAGTTTACTGTTATTAATTTATTTATTGTTTCCTTTGCAGGTCACATGCCATTGCGTGTGTTAACCAGTTCATCATTAGCAAGACACAGGCCCTGATGTTACATATAGATCCCTTCATGAATGTAAGTTATATTATCATTCAGGGGAGTGTTTCACAAAGACTATTAAGATCGAATTGAGTTTGACTAACTACTTAACTATCGCAGGCCGTTCATGCCATAGTTTGCTTTTACCGTTTACTGGCATCGGTCTCTCAAGGGACGTATGGTCACAAATTTACAGAATTTACATTTTTTGATAATTCATTATTGAACGAAAAAATATTATCTAAAGATCATAATGGTGAGAGCAACCAGTGGCATGAATGGGCTGCCATAGTTCAAGTCCAACTTAAGTCGATCTTAGTCTTTGTGAAACACCTCCCAGATGCATGAAAAGAAAGGGTAACAATTTCTGCACATATTTTGTGTCCATTTTTGTTGCATAATTACATTGCGCTTGATGCCAGGAATTTTAATGAAAAGAAATGAGCCTTAAAATCATTATGTTGGCAACACGAGAGGTTCAAATTTTTTGTTTTTTTTTTCGATCAAATTTTGCAATTTCTTCATCTTTTCGATGAAATTTCTACTTATGTCGATTATTTTCAGAGACATTGCATTTTGTATAGCATTAAAACAAAAGCATTATTGTTGCCAATTAAAAAAACAATGAGTGATCAATTTAGCCCTTTAAAAATCCCTATCCTGAAAGGGTTCCATGGCAAAGGAATCCAACGTCCACTCTGTATGAACTATGTATTGAATAGCATGTCATTTGTGCGCTCTGGCCAAGACAGGTGAAAAGTGCATTCAGTTTTGCATGTGAGGTAGAGGTCATCCATCATACATGCAACCGCAAGCTTGGCATATTTCCAGACATTTCCTAGGCTTTAAATTAAAAGAGAAATAATATGCCAGGCCTTAAAAATAGTTGGTACAGCTCCAAACTGGATCTATACATAGAAATGATCATCCTGTCATTTTTTAAGAGATTAAGATCAAATACTAGCAAATAAACTTGAACATGAGAGAAAATGAAAACAGTTAAATTGCTTATTATATCACATACTGTGCATCAGTTATAAATGAGATTAGTTTTGTCTGTAACATTTAATTTAAGGAAATATTTTACCTGCAAACAAAATCCCAACAAAAACTGTTCATCACAGATTCTTGCTCAATACTTCCTTATGTAATTTGTATATTTGTACTTCTCAAATTCTTATCAGTAATGAAATATGTGTTTGAAAATATTACTTGGTCACATTTACATTGCGAGAACTGAATCAACTTCTGAATTTTAAACTCTTTGTTTCAATATTGACAATCATGATTATTAACAAAGGAAGTAATAGTACATACAATTGTATAGAGACTACAAAAGAAGTGTAGAAAAGAGAAAACGTTCAGGCCATGTTTTATTATTAACAATGCAGTGCTAATGCTTTATATTATTAATAATGGAATACATGATACATAATTTACAAAAATAAGGACACATTTAAGATGTCGTCTGTTTGGGGTCACAAGGGCCTTAACTCCATGTCAAAGTAATATTGATCAATGCCATTCTGGCTCCGAACAGATGATGTCACATAAATGCGAAATAAATAAATAACTTATAGCAAAAGGAGTATAACCAATGTGATAACAAAAACGAAATTACACTGTTGTGTAATAACTTACAGCAAAAAGGATTACAACTCATATCGTAGCAACGGCTAGATGAACTTGCTTGAGCTGTCTCATACAAAGGAAGTAATAAGTGAATGCAAATGAACCTGTGCGTTGTTCATAGCCTTGTTTTGGTTGTTTTTCAGAACCTATTTGCGTTAGCATCAGACGAAGACACAGAGGTACGGAAGAATGTATGCAGAGCATTGGTGATGCTCCTGGAAGTGAGACTAGACAGGCTCATCCCACACATGCAGAACATCATTGAGGTAAATTTGTTTTCTTTGTAAGAGATCATCCCTCATCTTCCTCTTGCGTTGTAACAGGAGATGATATCATCGTTGTGGTGGAATATAGTCGTCAGTGAAGTTGTGGTACAGAAGTATACATCAAAAGTCATGTGATGTTATTTCAATTTTTATCTAGGATTTTCTAGTGTTCTCTTTATTTGTTTAATGTGGATGGTTATCTTACAGGATAGCTTGATTTCATGCTGAATATCCTTTTCAGCACCTACTTTTCATTTTTGTATGCAAGGCTATAATATGGCACGATTTCATTTTTATTTTCAATCCTAAATGCAAAATTATCCAAGCTACAGTATCTACGGTGAAACCTGTAACTCTTCCATGCATGACACTTTGGCAAATTTAATATTAAAGGGTAATTGAATGGCAACTGACCTGACAATGAATTTTTACAAGTTGTCAAAATTTCTTGTTACAAGGATTTCTGTCATGCAGAATTTTTAACAGTTTCATGCCATTTAAAGCTACTGCTTTTACATTAAGCTTGTTGGACAAAAATGGCTAAGACTCTATGTGCTTGCATGTAATCATGTTTGTACTTTCGGGGTGAGATGCACATTTATTAATCAACAAGGTTAGGGAAAATTTGATCTATTCTCCTCACTAATCAAATTAGTCTGCTGCAATGTCAGTGCTATTGACCAAAGTAGACAGATATGGGTCGTGGTATTTGATACCAGTCTTTGTTTGTCTAGACTGGGAGATGTGATGAGTTTACCAGTCTCATTTTCAGGGGGTTGATGGAGTAGGTTTGTTGCAAGGATAGATAGGTTATGAACTCTGGATCGCATCTGACCGTTCAGTGCACGGCAGATGGAGGAATTGAATGATCCAGTAAAAAAATGTTAACATACATCTGCTTGATTACTTCAATAAAAATGGGGTCATGATTGATGCAGGCTGCTGACATTATCCAATACATTAAGTTTAAATTTTTAATTAAATTTTGAGTTTGAGTAGAAATATATATCTCTATTCCTTTTTTTAAACGAGAAATTGTAGTTTTGATTTAGTTCATTGGAAGGAATACTTATCTTCGGAAATGGACATGTTGATTCAATTATAGTCCCATATTCTCTTAAGTGCTTGTCCCTATGGTCCATACTTATCATATGGGATCGTGTGGTTTAGAAGACTGGACATTGATAAAGTAATTATTCTCTTTAAGGCTCCTTTTTAAAAATGATGATGTAAAGTATAATACGTGAATATGTGCAAGTTGTTTGTTGCCCGCAGTTACCATTCATTTTCATATTTAAAAATATGTGCCGTTTTTTTTTGCGGTTGTTAATACAGCATTATATCTGAAAAAACCTTTACTTTGTATTTTCATTTCAGAATTATTATTCAACCCTCTATGCTCTCAAATATCTCCCTTCTACTAACATGCACATGTTCTTAACCTACTCCTCCTTTGTTTCATCTCACAGTACATTCTCTTAAGGACCCAGGATGGTGATGAGGCCGTTGCCTTGGAAGCCTGTGAGTTCTGGTTGACATTGGCAGAGCAGAGCATCTGTAAAGACATCCTAGCTCCTCACTTACCAAGGTAATATACATCTCCCGTTGTGGGGCAGTATGTGTCTGATCAGAAATTACAAGTTTTGTTTAAACATCCCCACTGTCATGGACTTACCTGGAAAGTCATTGAAAGTTAAGGAATATGAGAAAAAATCTCCCAAAGTCATGGAAAGTAATGGAAATTCATGGAAAGATTGTTTGTATGGGCCACTTGTGTGTGGCTATGGCAGCCTTCTTTACAAGTATAGACCTCTTTACCTGTAGTGCAACTTCAAGGTGCCCATTTCAAGTTATCATGGCACTGTGTGTCTACATGGTCTAATGGATCATCCATCATATCAAACACTCGCCAAACACAAACTCAAGAAACTCAATATAAAAAGAATACCTGTACTTATACCATGCTTGGTGTTTATAAATGATCTCCCATTCATCAAATATCTGAGTGCTCAAACAATATGCATAATCATTTTGAATATGTAAATTTGTAACAAAAAAAATTAAAATTAAAATTAAAATTGTTTTATTGAAAGTTTTTATTAATCACAATCAAAGAACAATCACAATAAACAAGAAATAAACAAGATGTTAAAAGCAGGTGGCAATGGAGAAATAAAATTGTCAACAAAGTCAATGAAAATGCTATAAGAACAGGTCTCCCAATTGTTTATATCATATGAACATCAGTTAAAGTCTATCTGCTGCTTTTGAATCTGTAAGAAAGTTGATGTTTACATCGTCAGTATGCTACTCTTATTCGTCTTTTCGTCACAGGTTAATTCCGATCTTGATCAAGGGGATGAAGTACTCTGAGATCGATATCATTTTGTTGAAAGGCGATGTGGAGGAGGACGAGATGATCCCGGACAATGAACAAGATATCAAACCAAGATTCCACAAGTCCAAGACACACGCCCAGCAACATTCATTCGAAGATGAAGAGGTAAAGTGACCGCTTCAAAAAATAGAGTCTTTCAATATATGTTTATCAGATCGATTTTATAAACCAGAAAAGAAATAATGAAGTAATTACTTTTAATGTCATATTTGTTATTTCATGGTTATTGATAGAAGTCTTGTACCATATGTTTTTATAATTAAAAAATATAAGTCCACATACATCTAAAAAAACAGGTGTTTTTTTTTTTTTGGGGGGGGGGGGGAGGATACGTAACATAAATTTTGAGATATGAATGCCTGCTGAGGAGAATACTTGAAATGAAGGTTCAGTTTTTGTGAAGTCTGTATATTGTGTATATTTGGTAAAGATTGCAATATTATTATAATTTTTGTTGTGCCTCTTTTTTCTTTTTAATGCTAAATGCATCTATAGAATGTAACTATGCTAACTCTGCAATAATCATTATCTGATAATGACATTCATGTTTTTTACAGGGCGATTCAGCATCGGACTATGGCATGGACGATGATGATGCACTATCAGACTGGAATCTTAGTAAGTAAAGATATTCAAATTGGCAACAAAAATAAACTCAGCAACGCCTGTAGAATTATTTAGTACGTTAACCTCTTGCAAATGTGGACGCATGAGATGGAGCAATCTGTTTGTCTAACTCGAAAAATGTGTTATACAGATTTGTGGTAATGGAAATAGGCCAAAATTTGAAAAGCAATTACAGTAATAATTGCTGATGAAATATTTCTTTGGAATTGTGTAGTGTTACATCAAAGATGTTATTATGAAAATCACTACTGCATGTAGTAAGAGAATAAATTTGTTGTATGCCCTCACGGTGACCATATGGTAGGAATACTCCCCAGGGAGTGGAGATGGTGCACAATGTGATTCAGTGAGTTTGATAACCTAGGTAATAATAGTTACGATAAAGCGCTTAGAAACTGTATTTTATATTCTGCGATGTGCCATATAAATCCAGCTCAATTTTTATCATTTTCCCAGAGATATGATTATTGTATTAGAAAACTATGATGTTTTTTCAACACACACTTTACATACATGTATTTGTTTTCTCCCCTGTATGTGTGTGTTGAGGGGTGGGCTTTCATATAAGGAGTATCTCCTTTCTTCTCATCCCAAATTCTCTCATAAATTGCCATTGTAGTTTTGATCACTATCTTGTTTTTTAAATTGAAGAGTGTTGGATAAACTTCGAATTAAAAAAAACTTTGAATAAATATTTATCATCGTTTTTCAACTTTCAGGGAAATGTTCAGCAGCTGCCCTGGACATGCTTGCCAATGTCTTCAGGGATGAGCTGATGCCTGTCCTTCTCCCGATCCTTAAAGAAACACTCTTCAGTACAGACTGGGAAGTGAAGGAGTCTGGTATCCTAGTGCTAGGGGCCATCGCAGAAGGTGAGTAGTCAGACTGATGTGGAAAGGGTGGTGTGGGACTGGGGTGGGTTCAATAGACCAGTTCAAGGTTAGCACATGTCCCAAATGACCCCGAATATCCACAGATCTTCAAAACATGAATAGGTGCCACTTTGTACATTTTGAAATAATCACTCCTACAGCAATGGAGGTGCCTTTGTTTCCCCTTTTCAAAGAATACTTCCTCCTGTGTATCATGGAGTGCACTGCTTGTGCATAAATAAATAATGATTACATAACTTTCATGAGCACATATGCAGTATCTTGTCTCCCATGTTTTTCACAATTTGGCCTGCAAAGATTTTTATCTGCTCATGCTCAGAATGCAACTATGAACTGGCTTATTGTCTGGGAGTGATCTGAAAGGATATTACAGAGCTGATGTCAGTACCCATCATGTTAAATTGACATCTATTAGGATAACTTTGCAGCTGTTGAATATGCTTAACTTGTACAAATCATGTATGATGTGAATTTATTTGAAAAGTTTGGGGCTTTGTTTTTGTTTGAGTTAGGTCTACTAAATCGGCAGTTCGTCAATTAAAAATTGTGAGCAAAGACAATCAAGCTTAAATGGGTATTATATAGCTGGAAAAGAGAATACATTGTTCTTGTTAACGATACATGTACATGATCTATTTCTGAATTAACAAACAGTGCATACCAATTTGAATTGTATATAGGCCTACTGATGAATTTTCATATACATGTGAATACTTTTTTTTCTTCTTTAAAAAGATATTCTTTCTTACAAGAGTTGTCTTTTATGCAAATTTTACTCAAACATTACCCATTATTACATGTACTATTTGTATTGAAATTTCTTGATGAATATTGTTATATATATGATTGATACAAAGAAAGCAAATTATCACCCATTGTCGCCTTTTTTGGTCATACGTGTCACTGGCACATACAGGTGTTACATTTGGTTTTGATTCAGGTTGCGTGAATGCGATGAGCATGCATTTGCCTGAGTTGGTACCTTACCTGATCGACTGCCTGTCTGAGAAGAAAGCCCTGGTACGGTCCATCACCTGCTGGACGCTCAGCCGCTACTCTCACTGGGTCATCAACCAGCCACACCATCTCTACTTCCAAAGACTCATGCAAGAGGTGAGTGTGTTCTTTAAAGCCCCACTGCACTACTGATAGCTACTTGTGCCCTCCATATATCAAATAATGCCTAAATGTGACTGTTGGTCCCCCATGATCCCCTTTTCTTATGTTAATTGAGAGCTGATTTGATGAGATACCGATAACCACCTGTGAGTGACCACACTGGGTGGTCTAATCCCTCCTGGCCAAACTAGTGCAGACGGGCTTTGAAAACATCAATTAGTGTCCATCGATTAGCGTTTGTGTCATGTCTTTGAATGTTGATCCTCAAAAGCAGAATCAACCCCCAACAACATTGCGTCAAAGGATAGTTTGCTTCCACTGCTATCATTAATGACTTTTTTAGTCTAGAGTCGTATGCATGTGTCAGTACAAAATTTATGATCTTTTCAACGAACAAGTACTGCCTGTTTTTTTAATATATTTATTTAAAAAGAACTTTCTATGGGCATTTAAGCTTTTTCCTATATAATGCGGTAGAACACTGCTGGGGAAAGATTAGCCTCTTGTCGATGCCCTCGCGCTGTTGGAGTCTCTAAATTCTGACGAGCGAAGCGAGTCAGAGAAACCGAGGCGCTTGCGCGGAGGGCCTCTTGACAAGTGATCTGAATTATATATTCATGAGACCCGATTTCCTACTGAATTATGCATGTCTAGACCGCAGCGATTGTGTGTGTGTACGTGTGTGTTCGGGATTGCCCAACTAGGCTAGTCTGCAAGCACAGACCCTAATTTGACACTTTATCAAAAAATCATTGTGCCTTGAGAGAAGCCTAGCCCAGCTATCTACTGGTACCTACTGGTTGTAACAATATAGGTCAGGAGCAGCTATAGTACGCGGCATATGGTAGTCTTATAGTGCACACTCTCTTTTACGACTGACCAGGCTTTGTGCTTGCAGACTACAACTAGGCGGCCAGTCTCGCTCTCACGGAAGGAATTCGCACAGAGCGGTAGATATTACGTCATAGTAGCTCTCTCTGATTGGATGACTTTCACCGAACTCTGCTGGGTCGGAATATTCGCCAAACAAAGTAAAACATAAGAAATTCAGATCACTTGTCAAGAGGCCCTCCGCGCAAGCGCCTCGGTTTCTCTGACTCGCTTCGCTCGTCAGAATTTAGAGACTCCAACAGCGCGAGGGCATCGACAAGAGGCTAGGGAAAGATAGGCTGCATAGCCCATTGTGGATTCCTAGAAGATTGAAGTATAATGCTCTTCACAGTTATGCATCTAATAAGATATGCATTAGCAAGTGTTTGTCAGTCACTTGTTACATGGACACCATTATCTCTCCCTCACTTGCATTTCATTAAACATTAAAAGAAAAAAAACACCCGCTGTAAATCATCGTATATCACCTCGGTGTATTGCATCTTACATCTTAATTATGTCATGTTATTTTACCGTTAATTCTTAAATCTATTCACATGTAACACCAGCAGACGTGGAGAACCTCATGACAGAATGGAAATTCTTTTAGGTAATCCTCAGGCGTCCGCTGGTGGCATTTTCACTGTCTTGTATCTCTTTCATGTTATATGCTCTGTGTTGTCATCTCTATTTTGTTTATACATGTACCTGAAAATCAATCAATAAATAAAATAGATAAAAAGAGTCTTTACATCGTTCATTATGTTTATCTTCTGGCAGCTTCTGAGGAGAATCTTGGACAGCAACAAGCGAGTGCAGGAGGCTGCGTGCAGTGCGTTTGCAACCCTGGAGGAAGAGGCATGCACGGAGCTGGTGCCATACCTACCCAACATCCTGGAGACATTGGTGTATGCATTCAGTAAATACCAGCACAAGAACCTGCTGATCCTCTATGATGCCATCGGCACTCTGGCGGACTCTGTAGGCCATCATCTCAACAAGGAGGTAGGCGTTGGTGTAGTCGATTGGGACGTTTTTTTTTTTTTTGGGGGGGGGAAGGGAGAACTAATTTTGTACTTTCAATGGTTGGCAGCTCTGGATAAGCCATTTCGGAGATAGCACTTGTACATATGACCCCTCAAATATCCACAGATCTTTTACACATGGAGATGTCCCACTTTGTGCATTTTAGAATTATCACTGCCAAAGTGATGGAGGTCCTTCAGGAATACCTTTAGTTTGCCCTCTTAAGAAGAATACTACAACCGGTGTATCATAGAATGTACTGCCAGTGCCTAAGTGAATAATGATTACGTAACTTTCATGAACATGAATGGAAAAATGCACATCCATGGTCTGTGATCATGAGAGCTTGTTCTGAGCTCTTTGTAACAAAGCCCATTCCACTGCTTCATGGTGTCAAATCAATTGATTCCTTGAAGCAATCTTGGTGCGTCCGCTAATCGCAATGTGGAACTCATTGAAAGGACGAAGACAAGGATCTGTTCCCACAGCTAGATGGTACTTGATATTTAAAAAAAAACTAATATCATTTCTGTGCTGTTGTCTCTCCACCCAGGAGCATATAGCAATCTTGATGCCACCTCTCATCGCCAAGTGGAACTCGTTGAAGGATGAAGACAAGGATCTGTTCCCTCTCCTAGAGTGTCTGTCATCAGTAGCCACAGCACTCCAGTCAGGTTTCCTGCCCTACAGCGAGCCTGTGTTCCAGAGATGTGTGTCCCTAACACAGAAGACGCTGGAACAAATCATGGTAGGTTATATCTCCATGTGAAGTAGCTGTTTAATCGATCATCATTGAGGATTTATAATGTCTTTGGTTTTGGATTTTTGTGATTATTGGATTTCTTTAATTATCAGGATTTGGAAATGTAATGAAAAAAATATTTCTGAAATGTTGTTTGGTACATTTTGCAGCTTAGTTATAACAGTTTTCATTTCTGTTACCATTTCATTCTTTATTAAAATGCTCATTTGATGAATAAATTAACATAATAAAGATTCATACAAAATAAAAGCCATTTTTTGTAAGTTAATAATCATTCGTAAACTAAGCATTTTCATATTTGAATTCAAATTTTGCAGACATGCTAAAATTTGGCTATATAAACTAGTGATGAGTCTCATTACTGCTAAAGCCCTATTAACTAAGATACAATGATTGGAATGTGAATACACCAATTGTAGTCTTGTTCGATTCATATGAACAACACATGCTTGCATAATATGCAGATGTGTGGTATATATGGACATGTTCTGCACTAAAGTTAACGTGGCCAAATCTTCACATTTTCCATACAGGCATCCAACGCCAACCCGGAGATTGAGCCTCCCGATAAGGACTTCATGATCGTAGCCCTGGACCTGTTGAGTGGACTGGCTGAAGGTCTAGAAGGCCACATATCACAGCATGTGGCTAACAGCAACATCATGGTCCTACTCTATCAATGTATGCAGGTAGGCTCAGGGACATCGAGGAAATATTCCATCACACTCAAAATACTCTGAAGTTATTGGTGATTTCGCCCTCTCTGCGATTTAATTGGATCCAAAGTAGCCATTAGAGTTCCCTTCTTTGGACCTTTTTAGTGTTAAATTGTGAAACAATTATAAAAAATAAGTTATAATACGTAATTTGTCCACTATTTCTTTTCCATTTTTGAGCTTACTGTTCAAATGAATGTAAGTTGAGTTCAAGTCTTAACACCCTTCTTTTTTGTCACTAAATAAGACTGTCACTCGAAGTAAGTAATACCTCTGGCATATGGCGGCTTCTTAAAGTGTACTTGTCTTAATCTTATTATCTATGTTTTATATCCCTCTAACAGGACAAGATGCCTGAGGTTAGGCAGAGTTCATTTGCTCTGCTTGGTGATCTTACTAAGGCTTGCTTTGAGCTGGTCAAACCATGCATCAGTAAGTCCAATTTTACTTATATCATCTCCTTCCATTGGGGTTTCTACTTTTTAATAATAATGATAACCTAGGCTTCTATAGCGTGTTTCATCTTTAGAGAACATAACAATAACAAGCAAATTATGAGGAAGTACAGTGATGTAATTAAATTTCAATGAAATACAATAATGCAGTTTAAATGACATCTGTTCTGCATGCTGCCGTGTCGAATTTTATCATTTAATTGAATGTCTTTAGATAGTATTTCATCTACGTTTAAATAAGGCTGTCCACATTGATATTTAATGAAGATGCAGTGGATTCAAGGAATGATGTAAAGTGATCATGCACTCTTTATTACCCAATTTCAATCTCACACTCCTGTCTTTTCTTTCTCGCCTCTTTTCTGCGTAGATGACTTTCTACCAATCCTGAGTCAGAATCTCAACCCAGAGTTCATCTCGGTTTGCAACAATGCAACCTGGGCTATAGGAGAAATCTCTATTCAGATGGGTAAGTCTGGGAAGATTGGTGAGTTGGTGTCAAGGTCTTGCAGTCTAATGTCTCATTCATATATGTCGCAGTAAACCATAGCAGGTGTTTTATGATGACATGAAGTGTAACACGCACATTTCTGTATCTTATAACACAGAGCTCATTGAATATGCGTAGGACCTTTGTTGCGGGCAGCTTCCATTCATTTATTCATTCGCACATTAAACAAAAAAATGCTTTGTTTTTTTGTGGTGGTTTACTGCTTCATTTCTGATTGAGCCGTAATGCTGACAGGCTATGAAAATAAAGCAGTCTTCCAGTGGCAGTACACACTTCTAATGCATCTGTTCTGTCTATGAAATGTAACATTTGTATTGAAGGTTGGTAGGCTATTTAATGACTAAGAAATTTTGGTCATCCAGTTTGTTGTGGCACAAGGGTGACTTTTATGTCATTATCCTTGGAACTCATGCACCCCCTCCCTCTTGAAGAAAGAAGAAAGAGAGAGTTAGACAGACAGACAGACAGATAGATAGAGGCAGAGAGAAACAGACAGAGATAGAGAGAAAGAGAGAGTAGAGAATGTATGATTTGATTATTCTTTCATAATCAATCAATGTAACATTTGGCAAATTGATTCTTATACCCCTGCAAATAATCAGCACACTTATTCATGTAAGCCAATGTTGAAAGTGAAACAAGTTTCTTTTTCATAATGATCAGGTCCTGCCATGGAGTCGTTCATTCCCGAGGTGTTGACACAGCTAACAGAGATCATCAACAGACCAAACACTCCCAAGACACTCCTAGAAAACACGGGTAAGTTAATTGTTCTACAGCATTCATAGGACACCTGTGTTAATATCTATCTATATATATATTCATATTTCCTACCTCTTCGGCTAAATCATACCGGGTATCCTTATAAGACCAAAGGTTTCACCTGAGTTGCATTTTGAAAAGTCAAGGAACATTTTTAAAACATTGAAACACATTTCTGGGTAGATTCATGTGGTGAGGTGAGGTGGGGTTGGATCTTAATATTTGTGTGGCAAAATCTTCCTAGATGTCGGTTTTTCCTAGCTGACCAGTTTGATATTTTTTAGGGCAAGTTATGAGCGGATCATATCAAAGAGGAATTGATTGCTCTTTGGTTATTTTTTTTCTGTCGAGTATTTGGCAACCCAGTTTCATGTTTATTCAGTGTTAATATCTGTTACATACATATATGCACCTTATTAGCTAGCTTATCTGTATTCAATTCAAAGATGTTGGAAATGTGTGCATATACAACTTAAAAACCCTTGTAAAATTTATTGCTTTCTAGTTTATATTTTAATACTTTTTGATGGAAATGTGCAATTTTGTGAGAAGTGTGACCTGCTCATTATGTGGAGTCGATGTACTGGTCCTCATTTAGTTTGTTCAATGCATCAATGATAATTGTTCTTCACTGCATGATTTTATTACATGTTTTCAGCAAGTTTGAAATGTTTTTTTTGTGTATATCTTACTGTAGTTAACTGTCAGTGAGAATTTATACAGAAATGATGATTAGATCAGATAAATTTGACTTTGTTAATCGCCAGTTTCATGTTTTTTAAGTTTCTACCTGGTTTCACTGTCTGATTTGATGCCCATTTTAGAATATGATTTTGATTATCCAATTTATATTTGGTGCGAGAGACGAAGGACTCAGTAACGTGCTAGTGGGAAGGTCACATTTAGAGTTTTGAGCAATAAATGTATCCACAAAAGAATTTCTCTTTTTAGTAAATATTAAAGGAAGGATTTAATTGCATTTTCAAAATGTTCCCTTTTCAATACAAAGGTGCTAGATGCACTGAATATGATTTCATACCCGGTTCGTTTTGAGAGAAATTTAATCTGAAATCACTTTACCTCATGGGCGAAGTTGAAATATAGAAACAGATAAGTTTTGCCTTTCGAATAGCTATTTCATCTTCAAAACAAAAAAAAAAGTTTTTATTTATGATAATGAATTATTTTTATTTAGCATTATGAACAGGCATGCACTTGTTTTTGTTTTCATTTTGAATGGATTTTGGTCATTCATTAACATATAAATGTCCCACTTTGTATTTTTTTTTACTTTGGAAAGAATTTTGAAAGAAGCATGAGTGGGATTAAAAACTGAATACAAAAAACAGAGAAATGAAGACTTAAGGAGGTGTATGCCCTTTGTCCCGATATTGAACGATTTTGTTTTGACATGTGATATTTTGTTAATGTCATTTTTCTCATTCTGTTAGTAATGTTGATTTATTATTTACCTTTTGTCCTCTTCCCATCCACCACTCTCCCTCTTTCTTTCTTTCTCCTCCCTCCCATTCTTGTTATATCTTCTCTCCCCCGTGCTGATTGGTCATCTGTACGTTGCCTGTGATGTCTTCGTCCAATCACAATGTAGCTATCACGATAGGGCGGCTTGGCTTGGTATGTCCTGCGGCAGTGGCCCCCATGCTTCCGCAGTTTATCCGACAGTGGTGTGTACTCACAGTCTCTCCTTCTTTAATAACTCCTTGTAGTGCATTTCAGATTATGGTATCCTTCAGATCCAAATTTTATTTTGAAATTCATTTGCTAGGTTCTATGTATAGTTTTGACATATTGGGCAGCCTCTTATTCATTCCAAACTAGACCATCTTCGAGAATGTTAAAATTCCAACAAGGGCATCTAGGTCCAAACTTGGTTATTCAGTTTAGTTTGTTCAGGAGAGAGTATTTAGCTGCCCTCCTTCAAGATTTTAAACCAATCAAATATTTCGGGTACCAAGATTAGCTGTCATTTTTCCCTCAAGCTTGAATCTCAAATATTTTCCAATGGTAATGATATGATTTTAAGACCAAAATTGGGTACCTAGCCATTGTGTGATCAGAACAATACCTTCTTTAATTTATTTGCGAAAATGTTAATCATTTCCATTTCTCCATTACATGGTTTTCTAACGGGCCAATCGTAAAGTCTTCTGGTATATTTAGTATCCATGATTATAATATAATAAGCTTTTTGAAACAATGTTATAGTTCATAGAATTAGCTTTGGACAAGCAAATTGAATTGCTTTCAGACATAAAATCTATCTTCCTTTGCATATACTCAAATTGTTTTGAGAATAATACTGTTATGGCAATTTACTTTTGTGATATGAATTGGTCATGAAATTGTTGTTTTTAAAATGGTTTGTGATTTGTGTAGTAGATAAATATTAGTTTGTTTTTACATATTTTATAGATATATATGTCGGCCATTTGTGTTGATTTAACGGCAGAATATGCATACATATTTATTGGTTCCAACTTACTTATAGACAGTAGTTAGGAAAAGCTCATAAAAAATAACTAAAACTTTGAAATATGTGGGGACTTTTGACATCGAACTTGAGTCATTTGTTCTCTGCGGTAAAAACTTATAAAGCCTCTGTGTCGTTAGTATATCTATCACTGATGTTAATCTGCATCATCTATGCATGAAATCTCAGCATTGTTGCACATGACTTTCTGCCAAGAAAATGTTGTTTTTATTATTTTTTATTTCTAACTTTGTTATGAATGCCTGACAAGTATTTCATGAGTAATTTGTGATTGTGATCACTATATTATCTCTAGTGAAAATAAACTTTATTCATAAAAAAAGAGAAAAAAGAAAAATTGTAATTCATATGATAGGTAATATTGCTCACTGAATGTCTTACTCAATTCATAGCGAACATAATAGACCAAATTATATTGCTTTAAAAAAAAAAATCATGGGAGAAATTACAAATATCTATACCCTTTTCTAAACACTGAAATAAAAATACATGTACTGCCATATATTCTGAATTTTGATGACCATGACAACTTTATGGCTATTACAACAATGGTTTGTGTAATGTAATAATTACAGGCCTATACAACCCATTGAATCATACATGAACACGTATGTACAGCAATATATTTACTTTCAACTGTAGGAAGATTCTTTCTGATTGATGTTTACATGGTGTAACCCCCTTTCTATTGCAGGTGTACATCGTTACGTAACATTCGTGATAACGAAGAGAAAGACTCAGCATTCCGAGGTATCTGTGCCATGATCGCCATCAACCCATCTGGCGTAGTGCAGGTAAATTGCAGCCTATTGTGTTCCTGTAGGCAAACATGTCAATATTCTCAATATTTTAGGTCGCGTAATGTAAACTTAGGTGGGCCTGGTTGCATAAAAGTCAACACTGATGGTAGCTTTGCCATCAATATTAACTACCATGCCAACATCACTGAAAGGCCAATCTAATCAAGGTTTCCACGGAAGTTACTTAAACTTAGTATTAATGGCAAAGTATCCATCACTACTAAGTTTTATGCAACGTCTTAGATAGTTGCTATTTAGGGCCCTGTCTTACAAAGACTTGTGATTGATCTGTGTTGTTTTGTGTGCCCCAATCAAGCGAAACCTAGTTATTCCTATCTCATTATTACGAAGTAGAAGTGTCGTGGTCGAGTAGATATGTCACAGGACTGTGGATCACAAGGTCTGCGGTTCGAGTCCCGCCACAGCACTAAGGTCCTTTGGCAAGACATTAATCTACATTTGCCACATTCGACCCAGGTGAGGTAAATTGGTACCTGGTAGGATTATTCCTTGAAATGCACTGTGCGCCGATAACGGCTGCCGGAGCTAAAGCTAGGGTAATAATTTCCAAAGCTCTTTGGAAGCGCATAGGGACGCCTTAATGTGATGTGCGCTACATAAGAACTGAATATTATTTTTACAGAGAGATGTGGTTGATATCAAGTTGTGATCTATTTGAATCAATCACATTGATTGATTCAATCACAGCTGAACATATACTGTTATACCTGTCGACTGAAGAAAAATGAAGCACTGTGTATCAATTCTTTTTCCTTTTCTTTTAATATGCAGGATTTCATCTTTTTCTGTGACGCAGTGGCATCGTGGCAGAACCCAAAGCCAAACTTGAAGGAGATGTTTGCCAAGGTAAGATTTGCGTTGAAATGAAAGCAAGATCAACAAAAATATGTCCTCTGGTTGTTCTAAGTAAGAATATTCCCGGTTGTTTAGCTTTTCTCAATTGAATTTCCATTATCTGAAAATTTAGTTATCTGTAAAACAGGTCAGCATTTCAAGAAACCATCACAAGTACAAGTTCACCGACATCCCATCGAAACATGTTTATTACAAGTATTCCACTGAATCAGCATGCCTGTGACTTGCCAAACATTTTCATCTGGATATACACTTGAAATGTTAAATTTTTAAGAAAAAAAGGCACGAGGCTATTGAAATTGCCTATAGTTGATGTTTTGAAAGTATATGATGCTCATTGTACAGAACTCTTTTTCTAATCCTCACAAACTGTGATTATTTATATATGTTTGTTTTGTAGATCTTACATGGGTTCAAGAACCAGGTTGGTGAAGAGCAATGGCAGCCATTCTCGGCTCAATTCCCACCTCCTCTCAGGCAGAGACTAGCCATGCAGTACAACCTTTAACATCAAAACATGGTACGTCTCATGTCAATCAGTGTAGTTATAATAATAACAATAATGGCTTCTTATATAGCCCACATGTCCGCCATGTTGTGACGCTCCTGGCGCTGCCTGATTATTACCCCGACTTTAGCTAGGTAGCCATTACGACGCTCTAGCATTTCAAGGAATTAATTCCTGCCAGGTACCCATTTTCATCACCTGGGTTGAGTGTGGCAAATGTAGATCAATGTCTTGCCAAAAGACATTAGTGCCGCGGCGGGACTCGTACCGCGAACCTTATGATCGACAGTCCGGTGACCTATCCACTCGACCACAACACCTTATTTATTCTCTTTTCTAATAGTAGTGCACAAAATTGATCAATTCAAGAAAATATAAATACCCTTACATTAGATTACTGTTCTGTTTCTCTATCTCTTTCTCTTTCCCTTTCTCTCTCTTTCACATATGCAGGATTTGCTCTAGATAGCAAGGAGGGTATATTCTGAAATTTGCTTTTAAACTTTGCTCCATCATGCAGAAAATTATGTAACCATTCACTTTGCCCAGGCTAGATTTTTCAAAAATTCGAATCGATTAATGAATATTTTATTAGCGTGTGGATGCAGTTCTAGCATATATTGTTTTGGAAATTTCTGTTTTTGTTTTGCAGAGCTATATAATGGGAATCCACCACCACAGGCCAAGGGAGGTCAACATACTCCTTGGAGGGTAGCGGGAGGGGCCATTCAGCGAGGGAGGGGCCAGGCAGCGAGGGAGGGCCACCAGCACCAGGGCTCAGGAGGGGTGACCACCACCACCTGTTAAGGGAGGGGCCAGAGGGTGCAACTCACATCAGCATGGGGGTAGGATTGATGTGGGCCTTGGTAGGGGAGGGTAAGCCAGGGGGAGCAAGCTGCGCCCGGGCTGTAGGGCAGGCAGGACAGCTCTCGACAACTCGTTAGAGCTTCGGAGCAAGGGGTGGGACGAGGAACGATAGATGGGGTATGATTTCATCTGAGAGAATCGCACCAACAAGTGGAAGACACCATGTGTGAGCAGATCGGCTATTCTTCTATTTATGAGATCACCATCATTATTTTTCTCTCAGATTCATCAACAATGTGTGATTATTCAGCAATGCTGTCGTCTAAAGCAAATTCTAATGATTATATCGCATATATCAGCATGTAATGCAGTGATAACTTCAACAGATGAAGCGTACGTACATGAAAAACATATATTTATCTATCACAAATTTCTTGCAGTGAGCTGAGATAAGTAAGAATGAATTATTTAGAACATCATGCGTTTGGTCAGTAATCATTGAAAACGTAATCTCTCTATTTCATTTCCATCACAGGCTTTACATGTATGTGTCGTCGTAGTAGTATACTGTGTTGGCAGTATTAAGCACTTACGTTAGGCAGTAGAGGATCGTATTTCAGTAAGGTTTATATATATCATATTGAGTTACTAATACTTCAGGGATTATATCCATTCGTATTGTGATGTCATAATATCTACAAGCAATTAGCACTTGGTTAATTGGACGTTGTCGTAGTTTCATTGGCTATTAGTTTTCAAAATACAACATGTAGAAATTACTGTAACATTTGCTTTAGAATGAAATTTATTTCCAGTACGATAAGACTCCATTTGTTCAATGTAGAGTTTAAGATAGTATATGGTGTGTTGGAGTTAATTGATATAAAACCAGCCTTAGTGTACATTTATAGACTTTGTAGTATCCATATTGTTGGCATCACCTTTGGTAAGCTATTCAGAAAGGCTAGTAAAAACTAGATATTTTTAGAGGTCTTGTGGTGTTGCAAAAATTCTCTTTGGTAAACTATTTTGCAAACATGTACACTTGCAGTGAAAACATATTTAATATACTCCATCTACTGAGAGTTCCTTATTGCATATCACCAAAATATATTTCCAGTTAAAGGCTTATGCTTTTTGTTTTGAATGCAGTGTGGAGAAGATTGGTATGTGACCCATTTTGCTACCATTAACATGTAGCTTGAATAACTATTATGGATATGTGGCCTGTGATTTGGTAGCTTATTCTACTGCATTTGCATTCTCAGTGTTATGTAGAATTGTGTTAAACCTTGATCGAGAGATATTACAGCATATCTTCCTGTGGCTCAGATTAGTTGTGATTTAAAAGTTATGATTGAACATCCATTGTTCTGTACGAGCTGCTTAAGTTAACAAAACATATCAGTCTGCAGTTTATGCTGTTTGATGTGGCAAGGGTATACAGAGTTACTTGTATTTCTTAAACTAATTCTTCTGTAGAAAGCATTATCATTTGCTCTCATTCGCTGTACTGAGAACAAGCAGTACACTTGTTTACGGAATTTTTAAATGGTCTTTAATGATACTCTAGCAAGTTTCTTCTTTAAATCTCTGGAATTTCTTCAACAGTTTTTGCTCCTTTTCATTTGTCTCTTTTGCTCAGTGTAACACAGCAATAATCTTGCATGATTTAGCATGGTCATTAAGAGTTAAATCGATGCATAAAATGTAGTTTCTTGAAAAAAATGCAATCTAGAAGTTGATGATTGTGAAGTGATTTCAGAAATATTTTACTATGTAAGTAGAGCTTCGGATAAGATCAGTTATTTATATGATACACTGCCTCTTGGTGATAAATCGGCTAGCAAGCACCCAATAATTCTGCTAGCACCATAAGTTGGAATGATCTGGCCTGTGTAAACGGCAAGTCTGCCTGAAATATACGAGATACAGAGAGAAGGCATTATGCATCGTTCAAATCATGTGAAATTCCCAATATAGTCGTACACGAAAGCATGGAAATTAAATCGTGATAGGTTACAAGTAACTGTTTTGCACTTTGAATTTAGAATTACGTATACATATATATCTGGCTCCTGTGCAGCCTAGCCTGTTGGTCGTTTTGGATGTCTTAAGTCACATCTGGATTTCCTAGTTATCGTAAGATGTACTTAGTTTCTAGTTTGCCTGTCACTTGATACAGTGTTGCCTGATGTTTACTGCATGTTGGATCGCATCCCTCAGAAACAAGCATGATGGACTTGAGTCCTTTTTCTCTTAAACCTATAGGTTTGTATGCGATAGGAGCATGATGGACGCATGTCCCTTTTCTTTCAAAAGTATGGTTATGTGTCTTTGTGAAGCATGCTGGTTGCATTGTTAAGTAAACTTAGCCGCTGTGGTTAAGATTTAATGTAGAATTTTTAAGGTAAGAATATCTTGTAAGCTTATTTCAGAGTTATTTTAGTGTTTAGAAGACCAAAGAGGATGAAAGAATTATTTTAGGATATTTTGTAAGATGGTTGAAAGTGTGTTGCTCGTCATTCCTTCGGACAAGGTAGCTGGACGATAAAGAACAGTCTTTTCCAGCTTCAGATTTTTCTTTCTTTTGTACCAATAATCGCAAAAACAGAAATAAAAAATGTGTGTAAAGGATTTACATTTTTCCACAACTGTGCTGAGCGCGTTGTGCCACCATTCATCGAATGAAAAAGTATGATTATGCCTATTATTGAGGAGGGGGTCCAAGTTGTTAAGAAAAATTGGACTAAAAAGTCTGATGTATCTGATGTATAAGTACTTCAAGTATTCCAGGTATAGTGTGTATTTAAGGATCGTAGGGTGATAAGGATGTATGTATTTTTTATTAAAAAGATGTTATCATTTGAAATGATAGGGCAACTCGTTAGCACAAAATAGTATTTGATGATGAGTGACTTTTAAGGATATACCTCTTTGTAACGTTGTAACTACTACGAATATAGCTGCATTTTTAACTATGAAGCATTAAGTTTGTAGGTATTCATATATGGTGGGGTGGTGTGAGGAATGCCGTGTATGTTGGGAATGAATGATCTTTATTGCATGTTGATGATTGTATGCAACTTTCAAAGAAATACTAGAATGCACGTATGCATGTGTCTTGCAAATGTCTTGGAAAAAATTTCAAGAAAAAATTCAAAAAATTGTGCGTATTTTGTAATTGTTAAGGATACCATAGCTGTTACATTCTTGAGGAGAATAAGAGTAATTGGGTGCTTATTTTATTATTTTCTTTTTTGGGTCGATGTTGCATCGGTCAATCGTCGGCTGTAATGAATACTGTGATGTTATATTTAAAATGCAAGGGCAATATTCACATGCAATATACATACTTAATGTGTGACAGTGTGCATTACTACTGCAGAAACTCTTGAAAAAAAAGTATTGTGTTGTGCAGAGTATGATGCACAAACGACCAGCTATTTCTTGTTTTTCAGTCTCAAAGGGTGGCTTTTCTTACTCCTCTCGGAAGCGGGAACCTGTCTATAATTGTCTCATTGTAGGGAACGGTGTAAGGGATTTAGTTATATCTTCCTATCTCTTACTATTTTATGTGTATGGGAAGCCCCATATTCTTAACAAGGTTCTGTAAATCATGGTTATTCAATCTATCCATCCTCAAAGAAAAAAGAAGAATAATCAGGAGATAATACATCCACTCTTCATGTGTCTGGAGAGGTCGGTTACCCAGACAGTCTATTTAAAACAGCAATTTGAAGAAGTTTACCTGTCATATTCCGCAAATTAAATTATGTTAGAGGATATAATAAAGGATGAATATTTATGATGGTTAATGCTATTTGATGTACACTATTTGTTATGTCCAAAGGCAAAAGTGACACCTTTATTTTTGGAAAGCGCCCAGATACAAGAACCCTATCATACCATCTGTAACATTCATGCCACGACCTTTCCCATCACTACTGCGTTAAGGCGGAAAAAAGAGAAGAGTTGTTCTGCACCATGTATGCCACTGTTCGACATGATGCACATGTTATGGGTATGAATATCTAGTATGTTGTTGATTCCTTGCGGTATTAAAGTGTATGGTAGTTATAAATGATCTTAAGGAATAGTATGTCTCTCGGACTATCTCCAAAAAGACCGCAACCCAAAGTTCCCAGCTCGGTTTTTTCCAATCTAATACTGGGTATGCATAGGGCCATGAATAATCTTGGAATGTGATTTTGTTCTTGTTAAAGGCATTCTATTCTACCGACACTTCTTCAGATTTAACGTATACTTCCATCTGCTGCTGACAACGTCCCAGTCAGTCGACAGCATTTTCAAAGCTGTGTTGGGTTGTTTGGTGTCATTTCAAATGCAAATTCTATTTTTACCAACTGTTTTCAGAACTCAACTAGAAGCTCCCTCCCTTCAAATAGAAAAAAAGAATAGAAAAAGAATCAGTTTTCACTTTAATCGCGTTTCCAGGCCACTCGTTATTGTAGTCGTACTACAGGGTTCCAAGACCAAAACCAGGATTAAATCCCGAGGCCGAGGTCAAGACTGAGCCATCAGTGTGGATCTCGTGCTGCCTTTCGTAGCACTGAAGCTTGATAGTCACAAAATGATTTAAAAGCCTGTAGCGTTGACAAGGCCTAGGATTCCATGGATTCCCCCTTCACTGCCCTTTTCTGATGTTTTAAGGACAGTTGGGTATGTCGCGATATATTAAGAAAGCCATTTTTGATGAATTCTTGACGGCTAAGGGACTTTGGGTTGCGACTCTAAGTGGATTAGTCTATGTTTATATGTATGGGGTTACACAGGGTACTAGTTGGAATCAGGATTGAAGAATTATTTAGGAATCTTATTGTAAGGTGCTAGGATTTATGTATTTTGAAATAAGAGTACAATAAGAGTTATATCATGTCATTGTATCGGGGCTTTCTATATGTATTTTTTTTTTTTTTTAATTGCCAGGTCTCTATTTGCCATGTAATTGCAGCTCTAAGATTTTTTTTTTTAAATTGTAATTTTTGTAATGGATTTTCGATTC